TATATGTATGTATGTATATATGCATATATGTATATATGTATATATATATATGTATATATATGTATTTTCAAAACCATGACACACAACCTGAATACACAATAAAACAACAGACCGTTCAGCCCAGTTCTACTTTTTCTGCATAATCATATAAAACTGAATCAAATGGAAACGTCTCTTTTTAAAATTTCTTTTATTAGTTTGAATCTTTGAACTTTCTGCACATCAAGCAAAAATGTAATTATATGCAACAGTCTTTGACTTGAAGAAATTCTTTAACATTTAAACCTATTGTCTGCATTTTCCAGTATATAAAATAAAATAATGTTTTGTGTATACACTCACTCTTTCAAATAGATGCAAGTAAAACACAGCAGAAAATGAATAAAATCAAAGATTCAGCAGCTCTTAAATCTATTGTCACCTGTTTAGCAGGAGTGGGGCGGGTGGAGGTTGCCCCGTCACCTAACCCTAACCCTTACTTTACTCATTACTTGAAAAAAGTAATCAAATCACAGAAACACGTTACTTTTAACGTGTAATATCTCTGCATATTACCCATAACTGCAGTTGGAGTTTGAAACCACGATTCCACATGTAATAAATTACATTGGTCTGAATAGTCATTAAGACTTTGGTAAGACAGATGCATTTATACACGTGTGCACACAAACAAGAACAACTGACGTGTTTGGCAAATGCCTCCGACAAGGTTGGAGTGATGACGGCAAGTGTGCAGCACATCAAATAAAATGGTCGCCAAAGTTATTTGTTGATCTACCCGCCTCGACTGCATGAGTTACCATGGAAACTCTGTTCTGTGCTATCATGAGCTGTCTGGTCAACTGACCCAGGCCAGAACACCGTACATTCAGCCAATCCAACAACCGCATGCCACTGGGAACTAACTGTCAACAACAGCAAACAATCCATTCACTGCAAATGTTTACGAGAAGACACCGGCAATAAGGGCTGAACATGCAGAGGAAGAAGCAGATGGACATTAAGGTCTAATGGGCGGCTTCTGGTACGAACCAAGTGTTTTTCATGCTGCCTATCTTCACAGCTGCTCGGCAAAGTCCTGGCACAGATGGCTAGTTGTGAAAGAAGTATCAGGAAACAATTGTCCAGAACAACTGGTAATTTCCTGTTGCTGAGATGCGACAGCTGAGCCTAGATCAGGTACATCCACTGAACATCAAAAATATACAATCATCATGATTATATATGACAAACTAACAAATCACTGTGTCTAATGAGACATGTACGGTGATGACGCCACCAGGAATGATTTTGAACCTTGCAGTAGTCCGTAGCAGTGCTGTGCATTTTGACCTCATGTTTTCTGCTGTCTTAGGCTTTGCTCAGTGAAATGTGAAGTTTCTCTTTATTCAAATTCAGATACTGGAGTGTTTTTGAAACTGAACTATAAAGATTTGGCCGTAACAGCCCACTTCTCTTCAAGTCTTCTGGGTTTTTTCTCTGTTCTGTCTGTCTATGCACTAACTGCCACAAACAGCAGCTGTGAGCATCTCCTTATTTGTCATTGTCTGTGGCATCATGACAATCAGCTGCTGATTTTATCAACTATTAGCCACTGCATACAAACCCTAACAACTCGTGTGTTCATTCGTGAAACTTTAATCCTCAGCACAAGGGTCACATTCCAAACACTACTACATAATTCAGAGCTTAAATATTTTTGGTAAATTAAACTGTATATTTCAATCTTTTCAGACTGCAATAACCGAAAAATGATTTCTGACTGATATTTTTACGTTTCCCAATTCACACACAGCTTGCATAAATTTTTATTTGTATACCAACACTATGGAGGTCTCCTTCATTATCTCCATTAGACCAACTTCCTGTTAATCGTTAACCAATATGGCTGGTAGCGCATGTTCTAGACAAGTAGCAGGTACAGGAGGGACCTATGAGATGTGGGAGTGATTACAACATTAATTTATAGTGCAGAGTGCAGAAAGATGTATGAACAGAGAGCATGCAAAGGGATAGATAAAAATGAATGGGACTTTTATCCTCACTGAATGATTGCTTAAGTGCATCGCTTTAGTCTGCACACAAACACAAGGCCCAATAATCTTTAAAAATCTTGTCTAGATTTACACTCTGTCCCTTAATTTCCTCTGTAATGGATCCCTGATTGTCGTGGAGGAACAACCCACCATCCCAAGCCCAACCCAAGCAGTGTGGTGGCCCCCGAGGGCAGGCTGGTGGTCCTTGGCCAGTGTTTGTGAAAGGGCCCCAAGCTGCATGCACCGTGGCAAATGAGGCGCGTGACTCATCAGACCAAACATGGGATTAGCTGGTAATGATCTGGCAAATGGTTTTGAAATTGTAATTATCTGGCCTTCAGCTGTATCTGCTAGGAGGCAGGGACACATAGAAGGACTGACAAAAAAGGAGATAGAAAGGAAAATTATAGTTATTATTTGCTATGTGACATGCACATTAGCAAAAGTCTCATTTAAATATAGTACAGTTGGGACTAACAGAGAATACACGCACGAGATTCAAGCAGACGGAGAACTTAAAGAAAAAGGACTGAAACATGAACATGGAGAGGCAACAAACACTTTCACATCCTAACACATGTCCACTCCAATCTGACATAACTGAGCTCTAACTCTGTGTTGATCCATCCAGGCAACAAAATAACTTCCACAAAGACTGATGTAACCCGTCCAGTCATTACTGCTGACTTCTGCTGCCACCTGCAGGGAGGAACATAGAACAACTTGTAGCGATGCCCACTAAAGTTCCACGTGCTGGGGTATGAGTTACTGCAAACCCAGCAGCAAAGCAAGAAAAATATCAAATAACACAAGTCCAAGTAAGTAATGAACCAAGAACACATATTATAGTTTTAGACTACATTTTACCAAACAGTCTGAGTTCACTGAAATATTCAATAATAGCCTTCATGAAGCCTGGCCATCATTAATGTTACTACCAACCCTCTCTCCGTGAGTCTTGACTAGGTACATACAGACTTTTATTGTGAAGGTTGGGCACTCTTGTCCATTAATCCTCTTAGCAGATTAGCCTTTGAAAAGCAAACCCTCCAGCTGCCATGATGTCTTTTAGAGTGCACAGTAGTAACACTGAAATGAAGATGCCACGTTTCCACAATGCCAGCTGACAACCAGACAGATTCAGACGAGGAGGAGGAGGAAGATGACGGCGGGAGTGAGGGAGGAAATAGTTCATCTGTTGTCACTTTTTTCAGTAGTTTAATTTCAGGTGTGTTTTCATGTCAGTGTAACTAACCCGACTCTATTCAAGCTAACTTTGAATTGTTGTGAGTTTTTCTGAGTGGTGTAATCAGTGTTGTTTTTGATGCAGCTCCTCTTGCTCTGTAGTGACACCCTACCAAAGACATCACACAGTGTCACCAATGTTTTGCTGATGTTGTTTGTAAATGTCTTAACTGCAGCACCCCGAGGAAACCCTGAGGCCTGTACTACAAGGCAGGGTGTGGGCTGATCTGGGTAACTCTAGAGTTCACTCTGAGCCTTCTGTACTATGAAGCAAGTTCAACATATCCAGAATATCTTTTCATGACCTGGAAGCACTTCCCCTAACACTGACGGTCAGGATAAGTGGTTGCATGATGCTGGTTATCAGCCTGCTAAGTTAACCTGGGGTTTACTGACACAAGCGTGTTCATATGAAAGAGTTGTGTTGGAAACATCTGGCAAATCGCATTGATTAGTGCACTGGCAGCTGAATTGAAGAATAAACTATAGATTTAGAAAAATACACACATAATACAGAATGAAAGCAACAAAACATAAATAATTGATGAAAGATGAAACTCACTTTACAATGTTTACAGTTGGGGCAGACTGCTGCCCCTCACTGAGCCTGTTTGGAAGGTTCTTCCTGTTAAAAGGGAGTTTTTCCTTTACACTATTGCCAACTGTGTGTAGTCTGAATGTTGGGGTTTTCTCTGCGTTATTGTAAGATCCTTGTCATACAACATAAACCTGGAGGCAACTCTTGCTGTGATTTGGTATTATAAAAATAAAACTGAGCGGAAATGAATTTATTTAAAAGTATGAACAGCATCAATGACTTTGCACTTCAGGAGCTTCGGTCAATAAGACTGGAAAGAGGCTTTAGCTGATTTGAAGTCTAGAAAGAAGCTAAACAACTGGGAAGTCCACAAACTTATGACGATCTCAGCTCCCAGACACGGGAGAATCTGGTGGATCATAATCGAGCATTTTCTTAAATTCATATTTTTATCGTAAGAAAACAGAAAGATAATCTGCTCACGTTAAACTTGTTTGGTCGCGAAGCAGCGACGTCGCAAAATGATGACTTCACGTGTTGACTTTGTCGTCAGACTGCGCGACAAATGTAGTCTTATTTATTTACGGAAGCTTAAGCCAGGCGGTAGTTCGCACTTACATCCTGGATAAGGAGAACTACTGGATTTGATTATTAAATATTTCTTTCAACTCGCGAACATTAACTTCAGTCGAAGTCTCACTCTTTAGCTTTGCCTCTAAAGTGCGTTGACCTGTTAGCCTAGCTTAGCCTAGCAGCACTGCTCGGCTGAGATGTGTCCTGAGCTAGCACCGCCGACAGCATGACAGCACTGTGATATCTGGTGTTTGTGTGTGACTGTGTTAAACTGCCGCTGGTTAAACAGGGTTTGTACGAAAGTGGGGCTGCTTCCGGACCGTTCACAACATGTTAAACGTCCCGACCCAGTCCTTTCCGGCACCGAGCTCCCAGCAGCGGGTCTCTCCGTCCGGCCAGTCCGGGAGGAACAAGGTAACTCACTTTCTGGATCCCCGAACACCCCTGAATCCCGCACACGCCCGTTACACACTTTATTGTGTTGATGCGCTTTCTTCCTTCTTTACTTTTGTAACCATTTATTAATTATCCTCCAAAATATTTATTGCGCAATTGACTTATTTACATTTCTCTTTATTATTCTAATAAATCAGAGCTTCTATTCTGGCAAATAAGTCAGTGAGTTAAACCTGGCACATAAAATAAACTTGCAGTGGAAATAACCGAGTAATCTGGAGACACCTGTGTCGTCGTTTCCGCTCATGAGAACAACTGAACACTTTTTGCCACATAAATCAAGATTTCACGTTGTTACCTGGAAATGTCGAATCCAACAACGAGTTCATGCCTAATTTATTCAAAGTGAAAATGTTTTTTGTTTGTTGTTTTTTCAGTGGCGGAAGCAAATATTCTGCTAAATAAGTAAACGTAAAATAATGTCAGAGCTTACTTCGTGGGATGCATCAGTTGTTGTGTATGTGAAGTAACAAGGCTGGTTTCAGATTTATGTTTTGCATTAGAGAGCGGTATTTATTCGTTCAGAGTTTTGGGGTTTTGAATGTCACACCATTAACATCTGGCATATTAGCAGAATTGAGTTTCCACAAAGCTCCAGAGCTCTGCTGTCTAAAATGAGTTTTTCATGACTCTGCCCTCAAAGGTGGCCTTGAAGCCGGGCCACAGTCTCATGGACTGGATTCGGTTTGCCAAGAGTGGAAAAGATCTTACTGGACTCAGAGGGCGCCTCATTGAAGTTACTGAGGAAGAACTGCAGAAACACAACAGGAGAGAGGACTGCTGGACCTGCATACGAGGTGAGTCTGCAGAGGCCTTTCGTCTTGGAGAAAACTTCATGGCACTTCTCTTTGTGAAGTTGTCCTTTTGATAAGGCCATCTGTGTTGATAGGCTCATGACACAACGTGGAGTTTGTGTCACTTTTAGCACTTTTAATTTTTCTGTGGTTTCCCCAGGTAACTGTTAAAAACCGTTTCCCTTCATGGATCGGTAAAGTTGCAAAGTGTAATGTGTTATAGATTCAGTTTTCAAAATTCAACAAACACCATGAACCACAAAGTGCATCTAAAGAAAACAAAATACTAAATGTTGTCGGCTTTATTGAGTTTACTTCAGTGAGCAGGTCCTTTTGATTTACCTACAGCAGAATTTTATTCACTGACAATAATACTGTTTGCTTCGACCTTACAGGCCCGCTAACACATATAACATAACCCATATCAGTGTCAGTCTCATGTGCCTCACAGATGATCGAGCATGTCACTGTTATACCGCTGGTGTGAAGCAGGGCTGGGCGATGAGGAAGATCTAATATCACGATGTTTTTTGGCTGTATCACGATACACGGTATATCACAATATGTCTGAATAACCTCCAAAAACAAATGTGATTCTCAACCATACACGGCCCAACATTGCACAGCTGTACTCATTCAAATCCACCGTTCAGTATGTTTTTCTACTTTGAACACAAAAATCTGAATGAATTGAAATGTTTTATTTGAACCCTTGTGTCGTCGTTGGGACATTTTTGTCCTCTAAAGAAATGTTTTTGTCTCAACAATGTGTTTTTTATTCATCAGATGGTCTGAAAATAACAGAAGTTATTCATTACTATACTATGCATGACTGGAATAAGTTTTAAGTAATTTGAGTTATTTATGGGATTTTTATTGGATTTTATAACACCTGCTGTCCTCGGGGACAAAAATGACCCCAAAGTACAAAGTGTTGCAAAGACTCGTATTTTCACACCATACTGCTTTCAAACATCTTTGATCTTGGATCACTGATGTGTGGGGTCAAGCAAAGGTCATAACAACCACAACAACAACAACAACAGGCAGCACAATGAGGAGGCAGGTGCTCTACATTCAATTACATTTTATATATACAGCGCCAAATCACAACAACAGCCGCATCAAAGTGCTTCAATATTGTAAGGTCGACCCTACAATAATACATACACACAAAGTAGATTAGATTAGATTAGATGAAACTTTATTAATCCCTCGGGTGGGTTCCTCCGGGAAATTCAGTTTCCAGTAGCAAAGCACCGAAAGACGTTGCATGTTACAGATACATTAAGGGGAATGAGAGTAAGGATATAAGCATAAATACACCATATATACACATATACACATATATAGATACAGAATATACAATATGGATGAATAGGATTGCTCATTTGAGTGAGTATATTGCACAGTGATTATTGCACAGTCAAATATAAGAAAAAAAGACATAACAAAAAAAAAAGTATGCTCACAAGCCTCCAGTGCAGCTGTAGGCATATGTGGGTGTGTTGATTCTTACTGCCGTGCATCCAGTAGAGTCGCTACGGCCAGTTTATGACATCCTGAGTCTGGTAGAGAAGTTTTAAAGGTGACACAAGATTTATCATAGAAGCACAAAAAGGACATAATTTCTTGATAAAGACACAATAGATGATCGTCGTTCATGACACAAACGTGCTCCCATTTGAGGTGTATGGAACAAGTGGGTGTTTCTCCTGCTGTGATGTAAGATCCTGGTACTGATGTGACTGTATGAGCACCAAGTCCCCTTCAGAGGACTCTGTCCAACAGAACATCCAAGTAAACCAGGGAACTATGAGATAAAAACATGGGCAGCATGTGATGCAGGTCCAGCTGTACATGGAACATGCTCGTGTGCGATGGCAAACCGTCTGTCCTGCAGTCAGGACACGCGAGTTGTCCCTAACATTGCAGGTTTCCAAAAGAAAACAATCACCTGTAACAGCTTGTTTACTGTATATGACCCTTGGCCTGCAACTGCAGAAAGAAAGCTGTCCATGATGGGACCAGTGCAGAGGAATAAACCTGAGCTTCCTCCTGCACTTGGGTCAAATATGGACACGCCTTTGTCCTCATGAAAGTTTGCCTTCACTCAGACTCCATGCCCTGGTGTTCCTACCATGCCAAAATATAGAAAACTGTCAGGCAATGAGTTGGAATAAAGTTGAATAAAACCTTGAAACACAGAGATGTATTTTATACTTGACAGGGGATTTCTCTAAATCACCCCGTAGTTCTTCAGCTAAGACCCTGAGTTAGAAACCGTAGACAGAGTGTCAGAGTGGGTAAGAACACCTCTTCCACCCTTGTGGTCAACACCGGTGCCCCTCAGGGGTGTGTTCTGAGCCCTCTGCTATACACTCTCTACACCCATGACTGTATTTCCTCCTGCGCGTCCAATCTCATTGTTAAGTTTGCCGATGACACTACAGTGCTCGGACTTATATCCAACAACGATGAGACAAACTATAGGACAGAGGTGCAACAACTAGAGTCATGGTGCCACGACAATAACTTGGTCTTAAACACCAAAAAGACCAAGGAGATCATTGTAGATTTCCGGAAGAAGGGTCATAACAACCATCTGCCTCTCTTCATTGGCAGTGAGGCGGTGGAGAGGGTGAGCAGTTTTAAATTCTTGGGGGTAACTGTGACCGAGGACCTGTCCTGGGGCAACCATATCACCTCAGTTGCACGGAAGGCCCAACAGCGCCTCTACTACCTGAGGAGACTGCGGAGCGCACACATTCCCAGATCTCTGATGTTGAACTTCTACAACTGTGCCATCAGCAGCGTTCTGACGTATGGATTTCTAGTGTGGTTCCCCAGCTGCACCAAGGCCGATCAGCAAGCACTCCAGCGGGTGGTGAAAGAAGCTGGCAGAATTATTGGAACAAGTCTGCCAGAGATCAGTAATATCTTCCCCACTCGCTGTCTGAGGAGGGTGCACAGTATCCTGCGGGACCAACATCACCCTGCGCGCCACCTTTTCCATCTGCTGCCCTCAGGGAGAAGGTACAGGTCTATACAGGCCAGAACATCCAGACTGGCCAACAGCCTGTATCCACAGGCTGTGAGGCTCCTGAACTCTCTGCCCCCCTCTCACGGACAATAACCATATCCAACTTCTTAATAGCAATGAACTGGTCTGCATTGGTGCATCATATCTTTATTCTCTTCCCCCTCCTGCCCCCCCCTCTTTCTTAAATAGATAACTATCATATCTGATATCATATCTCACAGTACAATAATATTGAATGGGTTGCATTGTTGTACTTTGTCATGTTTCTCAGGTCTTTGTCTGAATTTCTACCAACATTACTTGTCATGTTCTCATGTTATTGCTAAGGATTGTCTATTGCATTGGAGTCACACTGGGTTAAATATGTACACTTGGGTTTTAAGGGGTATTTATTATTTTCTTCTTTTTTTGGGTTGTATGGAAGCCCCAAACGCAATTTCATTGTTCTTGACAATGACAATAAATAAATACTACTACTATACTAAAAACACAAACACTGCAGTTGTCTTTACTCGCGAGGGCAGTCATGGACGCACGACCTGCGTCTCATCACTGTCTGCGTGCTTTATTTATACTTGTGTGTGTGTGTGTGTGTGTGTGTGTGTGTGTGTGTGTCTGTGTGTATGTGTGTCTGTGTGTGTGTGTGTGTGTCTCTGTGTGCGTGTGTGTGCGCGCGCGTGTGTGTGCGCGCGTGTGTGTGTGTGTACAAATAGCTTCTTATTCTAAGAACTCTGAGGTTCCCCTTTTTCTAAGTCTGTATGTTCTTACAGAAAGAGGAAGCTGTTAGTTGTTTATCACACAAAAGTACGTGTCAAACGTCACGTAGATATTTGCTTAGTGATCAATAAAAGAATACATTTCATGAAGCTGATCACATTATATAAAACAATTTTCCTTTGACAGTACTTGTTGCTTTATAAACAGTCAAAGCAAACGGGGGCATTTTTGAGCCCAGAGGACGACAGGTGTGATTATTTGCTGCCAGTAAAAAACTTGTAGTTTAAAAACAGTTTCCTACATTAACTTTGACATAAACCCGTCTGTGATCATCTGTTAAAGCAACCGACTCTGGTTGTGAAACGATCCTCACGATAACTGATGATTTAATTTATTTTTTACCCAAAAACAAAGAAACATTTTGTATAAATGAGGATTTATCAGACATACATTTGAAATGGAATAAAAAAATAGTGTCAAAACACTGCCCAAAATGTAACATGTAGGGTACATTTTGTGGTCATGTGTTGGTCTTAAGTAAAACTAAGCTGTAACACTGAATTGATTGGCAATTTATACTTTTAAAAACAGTCAAATGAAGTGGGGTCCCGTGGTATCAGGAGGACATTATGAGGGTTCGCCACAGAGGTTTGTCACAGTGACGATGCTGTTCGTCTCTTTCTGTCGTCAACAACACTGATATTTAACAAAAGATCACGGCAACAGAAAAGGGCATCGAGCAATGTTTCATCAGACAAAACAACTGAAATTAAAAATGTGCTCCTTTGTGCTTAAACAAAAACTGTCTAAACAAAAGTGTAGACGGCGACTACAAAAACCCCCGACTGGTGCAATCCAAACGACAGCGAGTCTCAAACTCCCGCCGCCACCATGTTTTTCCCGATGTTGTAGTAAATAAACACGCATGCTGAGTGCAGTGTGTCAGGTTGGGAGGGGGGAATTAGTGATGCATTTGCAGTGTGTGGGAGAAAAAAAACTCAGTGAATTACATGCAGACAGCTTAATATTGCCATGGCGACGTATACTCAGTGGTTACGATAAAGCCATTTATGCGTCGCACGTGGAAAAACTCGCGATACCTCGCGTGTATTCGATAAACATGGCCCGCCCTAGTTTGAAGCTGTTTCATTTAAGGTAAAGCAGACGTGCTGCAGCCTTTGAGGACGAGGCCTCTCTGTGTGAGGAGCCCAGTCACTGATAACACAGCTGATTTCTCAGCAGAGTGCGTGCACGCTCACGATGTGGGACCTTTCTGGGTTTTCTGGGTGTATTCTGTGTAATTTTAAAAATATAATTAATTAAAAATATGATAATATTGAACAATCGTTTTATACTGTTTTATCTGTTTCTGTCTGCAGAGGACAAACACAACTTAATACACAAAACGTTGTGTGGATGTTTTTGACAGGTATGGTGTATAATGTGAGCGCCTACATGGACTACCACCCTGGTGGAGAAGAGGAGCTGATGAAGGCAGCAGGAGTAGATGGAACTGAACTCTTTGACCAGGTATGGAAGCAAAAAGTAAATGCAGTGTATTGTATAGTCTGGAATGCATCTGCAGATTTATGATAAGTGGTAAACGTTTAATTGGTTTACCAGTGTGCACACGAAGCGCCTGTAGGCTCATTTTCCTATCAAGCATCACTGGAATCAATAAATCAGTTACAGAGTCGACTTCACATGTCCGCTCTTTATTCTAGGCAGGCTTTGTTTGTTTAGTCATGCCGATGTCTTTAGCTTCGATTTTAGCGTCAGACTGTGACATAGTTCTTTATCAGTCTCACAGTCAATTAAAACGACTCTCCTGTTGGCTTCATGTGTGAAAGTGGGGCCTCGCTAACGGGCAAAGCTGAGCAGAGGTGAAAATAAGTCTGTAAGACTGCAGCAGGACTTTTGTTTGCAGTATGATATAGATTTGTAAGCTCAAAGCTTCAATTCAGCTTTATTTACACAGCGCCAAATCACAACAACAGTCGTCTCAAGGGGCTTTATAGTGTAAGGTAGACAATACATTGATAAATACAGAGAAAACCCAACAATCATATGACCCCCTGTGAGCAGCACGTTGGTGACAGTGGGAAGGAAAAACTCCCTTTTAACAGGAAGAAACCTCTGGCAGAACCAGGCTCAGGGAGGGGCGGGGGCCATCTGCTGTGATTGGTTGGGGTGAGACTGACTTGGATGAGTGTATATGTGTGTTTGTGAGCAGGTCCATCGCTGGGTCAACTATGAGTCTATGCTGAAAGAGTGCCTGGTGGGCAGGATGAGCACCAAGGCCGCCACAGCTGTTAGAGGTACACAGAGATTTACATCCGTCTACACTCTCTGCAGAAAAACACAGCCTTTAACTAAGTCTATGAAGCTGGGGGTCGGGGGGCTTCTCACAAGTATACATGTAAAAACTGCTGTGACGCTACATCCTGGTGCTGCCATAGTTGTGTTTAAAAAATAAACGTGTGCAGCTGTGACCAGTTTATTGGCACATCTGTAATAAATACACATAAATATAATCGAGTCATGCTGTGAATGTTCATGTTTAGTATGATGTGTTGTTGTTATTCCCACTGAAAGTTTTTGCTGCACCAAACATGGTTTCGTCTGTTGCCATAGCAATCCTCCCTCCCCCACCTGTGACTGGCCTCGCCTCACCGACTTCAGTGGCTCCTCTTCCAGACAAAGACTCTCGCCCTCGGTATGAAGGACAGTAAACAGCTAAAGAACACATCTGATAAGGAAGCTCTCGAGTGACAAAATCCTCTTCTTCCTGTTGCTGCAGGTACGATTGGTTCCAGACTGATGGGACTGTTCATCTGGTTGTTTATACCAGAAGAAAGGTAATCGCTCCACCTGTGATGTGCTGTAAGATGGAGCTCTTCACATGCCCCCCTCTACACTGTGTGCATCCAGGCCCTGACTGTTATTGAGCTCCACTTGTGTCCTGTGTTCTTTCATTCCTCTAACCAGTACAACCAGTACCAGCTGTGCACACAGTAACTGTACCATCTGTCTGTGTCAGATACCCAGCTCAGGCTGTACCACTGTCGATCTAAAGGCAGGTGTTCTTCGACTGGAGGTGCTGCTGGGGAAAATGTCCTACGTGATTCATTTGCGTGAGTATTTTATTGCTGTGTTGCATCGATCCTACGCAGCTCACTACGCTGTGTCGTTGCAGCAGTCTTTCACTCTACATAGTGAAAGCCCAACTCTTAGCTGTCCAATCTGGCAAACACAAACATTTTCATTAACTGTTGTTATCATCTGCCTGTCAGTCATAGCAGACTTGTGTAAGGAGGTAAGGTTGTGTAAGGTGTGGCACTAAGCTAAGAGGCCTTAAAGAGCTGCTGGGCTGGAAGTGTGATACACTACTTTAAACCTCAGCTGTAAAAGGCTCCTGGGGTCATCAACGTGGCCCTGCTGCGAGGCCGGCAGCATAGGTGCATCTATGAAAAGCAAACTACAATAACTCACATGAGGCAAACACTGAGCTTCACTGATGAGAGCGGGAGCTTCATGCAGCACGCCTCATTCACCCGTACAAGCACCTTTTTTCTGTGCTTAAGTTCTTTCTGTCTAACATTGATACGCATTCGTACTCTGATGGGCACGTCGGTAGATCAGCTGATGACCCGCTCTACCTCCTGTGCTATCGCCACCCCAAGAACAGCAGAACAGCTGTCAAGCATGGTGGTGGTAGCATCGTGCTGTGGGGCTGCTTTGCTGCCAGTGGTCCTGGTACAGAAGAAGGACGACCTCTGAACTCTTCAGCTAGACAGTTAAAACAGCACAGGACAGAGATCCCAGACCGGACAGCTGTTGTTCTGCATAAAGCAGCTTAACATTAACCTTCCCAAAGCCCCGAGCTGAACTGTATTGAAATATGTGTAAAACTGACCAATTTAAACGAACTGTTCAAGGTTCAACATACCGAGAGACATTTAGTCAAGTATTAGCTGGGATGTGTGTACAGTATTTAAGCCTGTATGTATCTGTTTGACTTTGATGAGAGAAAATACAAAATGGATTTAGATTTGTGTGCTCAATTCTTGTTTGTTTTTTTCACTCTGGGAAAAGAGCCGTTCCAAGAAATCATTAAAAGCCCAAAATGAGCCTGAGTTTCGTGTAAACGTTTGACCACAGCTACACAAGAGCTTTGTCCCAAGCATTCCTCAGTTGTGGAAGTCCTACAGAGATATTTGTTAGCTCCCACATGTGTTACTGCTGACTCTCTGTTCTCTTCACCCCTCACAAGTCACAGCAGATGTTTCTCTTTCTGCTGTCATTGAGCATTTCACCATAGAGGATCTGAAAGCTGGGGTTGTAGTCTTGGTCTTTGCTTAGCTTTATAAAGGTGTGAATCGGTGGTATCCAGATTTAGCTAAAATCAGATTATGGTTTGATTTGGTGCCAGAACTACTTGAATGTCTAATGAGACTTTTAGGTGCTGTTACTTGTGGAAGCCCCAGTTTTTCTCCTGTGGAGATTGTTCCTCCAGCTTTTAGCACAGCTTCTGTCAACACAGCCCTAATGTGAGTTTCAAGCTTATGAATAAATGCTTTTGTTTGTAAAATCGACTGTCGTGCTTTTGCAGGTCTCTCTGATGAAGTTGAGGAAAATGTTGCAGGTGAACAACATCTTTGAAAACAGATTCTGTAAAATGAACATTCACTGTCTTGCTCTTGTCCTTAAGTTGTTATCATCTACAGTTCACACTGCTTTCTCCGTGGGAAAGATCCAGGTTAGCATACGCAAAGGTGCTCACGGAAAATGGGCGAGCCTCGGTCAACCTCTGGAGTCCCATAATACGTTTGTACGCCAAAAGGACCGAGGTGGGTTCCAACAGCATCACAGATGTGCCTGTGCAGCCCGTTCACATCGCTCCACTCGCTTCCTGCATGCTGTGTGCTCAGACAAAAAGAAAGATACATAGGAGACCACGTTGCTGTTCCCTGTTTTACAGCTCTCTTCTATCGGGATTGTGTGTTGGTGTCTAAGACTGAGGTGAACCACAACACTTACCTGTTCAGACTGCAGCTCCCAGCTGGGACTGTCATGCATGTGCCAGTCGGGAAACACGTCTGTCTGAAAGCGCTCGTCCAAGGTGAGCAGTCGCACAGGCAGCTGGTGAAACGTGTATAAGCTGCAGTTTAGAGGAAGCTTAAAACACCTGTGGAAGCAGGTGTGGTGAGCTGCTGAACATAGAGCAGTGTTAGAAAGTTTATATTGTGTGGGGATGTTTCATTATCATCTACAACCATGAAGTACACAGTGGTACAGAGTATTCACATCCTTGTTGTTGGTGTCTTAAACCAGGTGCATTCAGTTTGCAGGCCTCCTGTCCAGAATAATGTGCTGCCCTCTTTCATCACTGGGACAAACTGGTCCCCAGTGCTGCTGCCTGTGTGCGTTTGCTAACCTCCAAATAAAATCAGCAGTCTCTGATTATTGTGCTCGTTTCATTTTGATGTGGAGAGGACGGAAACTGAAAATCAGAAAAACACATTACATAAAAGTTGTAAAGTGATTTTCAGTGAGTAAAATAAGTATTTGAACCACATGGAAAACACGACCTTGCACTTGGTGGAGAGCCTCTTGTTGGCAACAGTAGATGGTCAGCAGGTTTGCACACATCTCAGGGTTTGTGCTCTTCCACTCCCGAGTCTGCAGTCCTGATGTCCTGTCACAGCTCTCTGGTTGTTACTTCAGGAGTATCTGACTCATCGGTTCATTATGATGTAGCGCACAGCCTTTGTGTGGCTGGGTTGTAGGGGATCGCTACTTACTTTACTCAGTGACCTGCAAATGTGTATAATTCAATTCATATGTGATTTCTAACTTTTATGTAATGATTTTTTACATCACTGCGCATTTTTGTGACAACTATTTCCACCAGTCTCATTCTAAGCCTTACTATAGTTAAAAATGAGCACAGCTAGATAAGTGATGACAGGTCAGTGAGTAAAATGCTGATATTAGTTTGTCACAGACAGAAACAGCTCTGACCTTGGGCTGTTTCTGGGAGTGTGACATCACCGAGACGGGCACAGCTGTAAATCTTACTGTTTGTTATCTACATGCAGACGTGGAGGTAGTGAGGCCGTACACTCCAGTGGAGCACATATTTCCAGCAGCTTCTAAGAACGGGTCACAGGAATCAGACCTCTACCTCATGATCAAAGTCTACCCTGGTGGAGCGTTCACCCCACACCTCAGCAGCCTGAGTGTCGGTGAGTCACATTCAGGGAGCAGCTCCCAGGCTGGGAACATGGATGAGGTCCAGTGACTTCTCTCTCTTAACCTGTAACAAACAAAAGTACAATGAAAAAACCAATGTGTGCTTTTCCACGTGCGGCACAATAACGCGACCAACTCGCCATCGAACAGTAAATAATGTTCTGAATTTTGATTTGATGAAGGTGTTTAATCTGTGGAAACTGTTGTAATAATGACGCGTTTACTCTTCTAGGTGACCGTGTGGCCGTAAGTGGTCCAGAAGGCACCTTCAGTCTCCGCCCTCTTCGTGATGTTACAAACCTCTACTTAATAGCTGCAGGCACAGGCTTCACGCCCATGGCTCGTCTCATCCGTGCAGCCCTCGAAGACATCGAAACCATCGGGTAGGAGCAAACTTTCAGAAGCAGCGCTCATAAGTGACACCTTTGTATTCAGTGCTGATCAGTAAGTGCATTCATTTATATAAATCAATGTACTTGGAGCAACCATCTGGTTGGTGGTCGCCTCCCCGAACTGTATCAGGAGTCTCCAGGGCATGAG